GTTACGCCCCTAGTCTTTCTATTAATATATTTGTTTACTTTGTTTCTTTATTATTTTGTGGAACTCACATATATTTTCGAAGAAAATAGTGAGTGTAAGTTTTAAGTTCAGGTTTTAGCGGCTCCCCCCCCCTCCTCCCCATTACAGACACTTAGCAACGAGGAAGAGAACATTACAGACACTCCCCCATTACAGACCTTAGCAATTAAGAATAACAGGCGTCAGACTTTCGATTTTTTTGAAAAAATTGATCAAGTTATAATTTCGAAAGATAATCAATATCATTGTTTGTGAGCTGATTAACATATATAATGGTGCATAAGACCTTATGTAGATCTAATTGATATGTCAAACAGATTTATTTGCCAATTAATTCAATGCTTGTAACAATAAGAATGTTGAATTACGGAAAACGATTTTAAAAAAAATGAAAGATAATGAGCGAATAGCAACAATGCAAAATAAAAATAGGGCGCTCTCAAACAAAAAAGATTTTCTGTTTTAATTTGAAATAAATAACAAAGTCTCGCTCTTGTCATTGATTACGAATGAAAGCAACTACAGTGTATACGAAATTTTTCAGTTTATATATCATGCATTATAATATTAAGGTTTAAGGATATATGTGAGTTCCACATTTCAGCTCCAAAGGAGCTGCGCTAACAAGCTTTTTTCTCAAAATTCAAAATGTGATTTTGATCTATTTGCAATATAGCATAGTTATCACTGTATTTTTTCCTTTCATATTTCTAATACTTGTACGATCTTTTATTCTTATCATGTTAAGAATCTATTGCCGATTTATTTGACGATCAACTTTTCTTAGAACTATCGAAAGTTATTGCTGTTTTCATTTCTGTATGGATAAGTATTTTTAAATTCTGAAGATTTAACATTGTTAGAAGAAAAATAAAACAAATCTAACACTGATAAAATACAAGAGTTAACTATGTGTGTTTTTTTTTTCATCATCTTGCAAGTGAATAAAGGATGCTAACTAAATAGAATCGATTGAATCATATAAGAGTATGTTTTTCCCTCGTCTGTTAATGTGAAGACATCTTTCTATTTATCATGATGATGATGATAATAGGAGAAATCTTTGTGTTTCTCTCTGCATCCACTAATTTTGCTCAGAAGTCGATAAATAAATAAATTATGTATCAAAGCTGAGACAGTCATATGATTTGTTACTCTTTCTTTTCCCAATCAATGAATACATTGAAATTCTAGACCTTTTTTTATGAGTTTTGTTCGATCACAAGTGCCAGTGTGCTTTAAGTTGTGGTGAGTCCTTATCTCTCTAGAATAATTTAGTATATAGACTACTTAAAGTTTGTAAAAAGTTTATTTTAACAGTTGCATCATTTATTTACATGTTGAAATGTGCATGTTTTTCTTCAGTTCTATTTTGTTTATCTCCGTATTATTTCTATTAATATTCTAATTCATTTTTGGTGGATTGTTGATTTCATGATCGATTCTTTGTATGAACAGTGTTATTTTTCCTCTTTCATTCGTAGTATGTGATAACTAGTTTTTTCTTGAGCCATTTATTGTCATTCAAGAATTAATAAAGATGGTAAATGTTTCATCTTTCTATTTATTGTCTAGAGCAAAATAGGTTTTTCTCTTTTTTTTTTCGTTTTTCTATTCACATCAACACAGAAGAAAGAAGAGGATAGCTATATTTCATAAGTTTCGACGCCATTTTGACTTTGTTTTTGTATTTGTCAACTCTTTCAAGTAGAACAGACATACAAAAATGTATGTTTAAATATCATATCTAAGTCATCGTTCAAAATTTGTTGTACTCAACTGATATTTATACCAAGAAGGTAGATAATTAGTAAAAGTATTAAACAGAAACTTTATCCAATTTATTTTTCATTATATTTTTATCTTAAATATGTAAAACAAAAACAACGTCTAAACTTATTTTAGCTTTAGATTTCATAAGAACATAAAATGACAGAAATTAATCACATGATCCTCTCATCGGAAGAAAAAAATGAGTAGAAAATAAAATCGATAAAAAGATTTTCGCATGTTTTCTAATAATGTATTTTCTTAATAATGATGTCAGTTGAGAGTATAGTAAATTTTTAATCATAGTTTAGACGTTTCAAATATATAGATTTTGTATGTCTGTTCAACTTTTATGTATTCGACAAAATAGAAAAAAATACTCAAAATAGCAAAAAATCATCTATGGAACAATCTTCATATATAGAGCGTGCAATAGTTCAATGAACCTCGTAAACGTAGAATAATTTTTATTGTATATCTTTACATGTTAATAAACGTTCCATTTTTTTAATCTGAATACATCCGTAGAGAGAACAATAACATATTCCATAGATCTGCATGCGTTACTTGAAATATAATTTAGATGAATTTTTAGTTACATCAATCTTGTTACCACCTTGTAAAACATGACTATTATAGTTGAATTTCAAATTCTTTTGAATTTTTTAAATTTGATATGCGTTCTTACAGATCAATATCAAACTAGTAAGTCATTTGTTACAAAAAGGTAACAACATTGAATTCTTCTAAGGTGTGCGTGAGCGTAGTTGCTAATGAAGAATAGGAACACTCATATCTACCTACACTCATATTAGCTCAAATATTTAGCATCAGCATTCTAATAAGATGCAAATAACACCTGAGCATTTTTTCAGCTTTGGACTCTAACACTATTCTTTATTTTTTAGCAAAGATTCTTGTTTCGAATTCATAGAAACCCTTCTAGCATTTCCAGACGATGCTTTGTATCAAATCTTATCAAAACTCTGATAATATCTTACCGTTATCCTTTTGACCTTTCTAAGTGAGCCCCTGTTTTCCAAGTCACAA